GCTAGGGGCGTATCATTGGAGAGTCCGTCGGTGGCCATGATTCTCATTTGGTCCGACGACGACGAGGAACCCATCGAGACGCCAGAGGGCGCCACCACCTCGGAGCAGCGTTCGCTTGTTCTGTACCCGCGTGCTGATCTCGTATTTGAGGAAGCGGCATGTGGATGAGTTACTGAGACGTCTTGATAGCGGTTTGCTGGAGAGTGAGGGTGGACTTATAAAGCTCATCGCTGAGGATCTCATGGAATACTAGATCAAGTCACAAGTGATAACGAACCTCCCTGGAATGGCAGAAAATGGAAACAGTTCGCAGACACGTACGGCCTTGTCCACAAGACGATCTCACTCATTCACAGGCAAATGGACATGTCGAAAAGGCAGTTGGAATTCCACAGAACATGCTGAGGAAGTGTCAGGCATCAGGAACAGATCCATACCTAGCACCTCATCAGCGCCGCCGCCTCCGCCGCAGACGGGCGCCAACACCGCCTGCGCCTACGCCGCCTGCGCCTACGCCGACTGTGCCTGTGCCATCTGCGCCTTCGGCACCTCGGCCTGCGCCTCCCCGCCTGCGCCACGGCCGCCGCAGTCTACGCAGCAGGCGCCAGCGCCGCCTGTGGATGCGCCGTCTGCGCCGTCGGCGCCAGCACCATAGCCGCCGGCGCCGCAGGCCCGGGAGAAAGCGTGCTCCCCGCCCCGCCGCAGGCACGCACGAACGGCATGACGAGGGTATACAACCCCTACGCCTACCCGGAGCCGGATACCACCGGAGACTCCACCGACGACGACAGCTCCCCGGAGGACTCCGACGACGATCCGTGGAGCCCCGCACCCCCACCCCCCGACCACTATTACGCCGGGCACTTTATCGGGTCGGGCACCAACTCCGACCCCATAATGTACGAGTTCGTCGTCGGCGAGGAGGACCACCCGGCGCGGACAACCTTTAATCCGCAACACGTACGCCAGATGGCCGCGACGGCCATCTTGGCCGCCATGTCGCGAGCGGCCGCCACCCCCAACGGGGCCGACCATCAGGAAGACGATGACGAGGACCATGAGGACCATGACCATGACGCATGAGCGCCAGTTAGGTCCCTTCAGGACAAGTGGCACAAGGGCACTTCTGTAAGCCATAGGGCATCGATGTTCTATTCTGTTATTAGGTGTTATTATATTGCGTGGTACTAAGTGTTATTATGTGTTGTCATATTGCGTGGTAAAGCGCGTCATAACGAGGAATTATTAATATTCATATATTCATATATTCATAATATCGCGGATCATAGCATGCTAACATTACGATGCCAGGACGTCGACAGCCACCCCCCCCTTCCCCCCCCTGTGGACGGCCAGCCCGGAGGCTGGCATTCGATGTCCACAGGGTGGTCATCGGTTTAGTGGGGGGAGAAGTGTAACGACCACGTGTTACTGGGTGCTCCCCCCCCTCACGCGCGACGCGGGTCGCGCCGCGCGGTCGACAGAGGCATGACAGAGGCATGTTATGGCGCCACCCCTAGCAACCACCTAGCAACCACCTAGCAACCACCGCGATCAATACGGCTCTTATGCCATTTGTTCTGCGGCGTTGCCCCTAGCAACCACGAGCGATTGTAGGGAAGCGGCAGGTGTAAGAAAGCGTTGCGTCGCTACACCTAGCGTCTCCACCCGTAGCTTCTCTACACATGACCTTTCCACACGCGGCGCACACTTTGATCCTAGCCAAAAAGGCCTGTCCGTACGCGGCGCACACTTTGATCTTAGCCAAAAAGGCCTGTCCATATGTGGCGCGCACTTTGGACATGTCCCGGCGGTCTCATCCAGCCTCGCCGCGCGGCGCAAGCCACCAATATAACACATTTAATGTGTGGCGCTCGCGCGCGAGGCGCGGCCCAGTAGCCTAGATAACTTTACGAGCTAGGTGACAAAAGGGGAGTGAGGAGCACACTTGGAACACACTTCGCTCTGATCCGTTGACCTGACCAGCCGCTTTCTCATCCCTCTCCGTTTGTCCTCCTTGCCTTCGATACGAACCACACTATTGCCTGGGTTAGGTCCTTCCCTTCGCCGTCACCCCAGTTAACCCAGTCAGAGAACCACCGGGCTAAGGTACGAACACTATTCTGTTGTATTCTGTTGTATGTTGATATTCTATTGTATGTTGATATTCTGTTGTATGGTAGTGTTTGGCGGATAAGAGAAGTACCTACGAGTAGCTTTATAATACGGTGTTCGAGTTATCTATCTGTGGATCTAGCGTGGACTCTAAATCAATGCAACCTGTTACTACCCCTATTAGAAACGGGTGCCACTAGTGCACTCCCTAAACCGTAGAGCCTGTGGTAGCGGGAGCAAATCGCTCGCCTACAACATGAGGTTAGGACCCAGACCGAGCCGAGGTATAAGAAGACAGGGAACCACGAAACACGGCCAGTTCGCTCTCGAGTCACGACACGTCACGTATCTATACTGTGCTACCGTTTAGACTATCTGCCGTGCTACCGTTTAGACTATCTGCCGTGCTACCGTTTAGACTATCTGCCAATATGTAAGTTATCTGTGTTTATGTCGCGTAACTATCTGTATACGTCGGCTCCGTACCGGAGCAAATATTATATGTATAGCATTTCGGGAGCAGTAAAGATGTGTGTGTTTGAAATACGACTGGACGATGGAATTGGAAGACGCCCTGCGCGA